CTGAATTGCAAAGCACATTGGGAGTCAGATTCCTAGTGTGCCTAACACACTTGGCCAATAAAGCTGGTTCTGATTCTAGAAGTAGAGGGTTTCCCTGACCCAGTAAGGAACACGCGTGCCAGTGTTCCGTGCACCTTATTATAAAGTAAGACCAGCTGTGATTTGAGCTTCCTGTGAGTGAGGCGCTAATGAACAAGGTACATGTCCTGAAGAGTCTTTGTATCGGCCACATGACGCTGCTGCCTCTGGTTTCATCACTGATTAGAAAAACACAGTGTCAGTGCTGCTGCCAAAGGTTCTGCAGGGCTGTGAGGAGAGCTGGTTGACAGGAGCGTGTCCTGTTTTAATGTCGGTGTCTGTTGGTGAGGGGCCACGTTTATGCAGAGCGGGGCCGTTTTTACCTGCGAGACTCAGACAAGCACGGCCTGGTGGAGCTGCTGCTGCTCATAGTGTTGGTTATGAAGACGTGATCTGTCTGCAGCCTGTCTCTCTCCCCTGTTGCTCCTCTCTCTGTTCACAACGACTCTCCAGTGAATGAGTTTAAATGGTCTTTACCTGCACAGTTAAGTTCAGGTGTGATACCCTGAGCTACTGTCATCCCTGGAGAGAAAGGGCCTTGTTTGTTGTGTGAGGTTGAAGATGATGTTTTGATGCCACTGAATGTTTTGCAGTAAAGCGTTTGTCATTTCTTCTTCTGGCTGGATGACATAAAAACTCCAGCTGTGTTTTCGCAGCTTGATCAGAGAAGAGGTGTCTGGCAAACACCTGTATTTTTAGTCCAGGTGAGAAATAATTCAACCAAGCAGTAGAAAAACTAATGTGCAGATGACAGTTTCACAGGAGTTGGTTTTGGATTCTGTTGGTGGCAACAGGCCTCACCTGAGCAGGCGCACTACACTTGTAACGTCCCCCTTAGCTGGATTAGTCTTAGATCAGGTGAGCTGGCAATTGAATTTGGAGAACGGTGATGAGAATAAAAGTCACTGCCTAATCAGCTGGAAACGTAAGATGAATGTGACCAGTTTCATCCAGAGCCACCTGGTTCGGCTGAAGCTTACTAAAGAAGTGAACTGTGCACATCTGAACTTGTCTTTGTTATTAATCTTCAACCTGACTGTTTTTGCTTGAATATTTTTTAAACATTTTAGATTTTTTTTTAAGCATTTCTAGTCAGTTTAATGTGCAAATTGAAAATGCATAACGCCAGGAGGATGCAGACAAACATGCTCCAGAGTAAGTCCATGTTGTCTGAGTTGACTCTGACCCCTGCAGTGAGGGACAGGTGACGCGGGTCGTTCCAGCGCCGTAGCATCGAGCTGCAGGTCTCTGTGTGTTGTAAGTGATGCTGAGTGTGAACCACTGCCAGCTCACACACTTGTGTCTGCTTGACCTCAGAGCTCCCTCCTGTCTCTCTCTCATTGTTGTCCCCGTGCTCAGAGCAGGCTTGTGGCCGGGGAGGCTGCATTAGCAGAGCGGGTAGCTGCACACGCCTCGGTGGTTATGTAACCATCCCCCTCCCCCAGCACTCAAACAGGCCCCTAAGTCTCTCTCTGGTCTGGTCCGGTCTCTCTCGCCTGCTTATCGTTACACCATTACGACAAAGGCCTGCTGCGGCATCTGCTGCCAGAGGTTAGGGCGCAGGGTGAGAGTAAATACACAGTGGGGGTTGTCATCGAGCAGCAAACATGACTTAAAAACCTCTGTTTCCTGTTGTCATATGTAGATCAGTGCAGTTGGGATTTCCCAGTTCAGGCCAGATGTTTTAAACAGTGTTTGTCCTCATCATCGCTGATCTGATTCTGTTTCATCAACAACGAGCGTATTGTCTTGATTGTTTGGTTTGTGAAACGTCCAGAATGAGTGAGTGGGTCACTTGTTTTGTTCCATCAGCAGTCCAACACCTGAGATGTTCAAGGAGGCATCAGATCCTTGACGAGAAGCACTTTAACTGACATGTCAACAACTTTGCTGTGGACTGACTAATTCGATTAGTCCATGTTCCTTTGAATTTATGTACAGTAGACCAGTGCAGTTTGTTGGTCCTCTCTTGTTTTACTGGAGACAAATATTACACAATGTGTTGTTGTATCCCAGTTGTCTCTTTAGACTCTGGTCATGAAAGAATGAAGTTATTACTGTAATTAACTCCTAAGATGTCTCATATGTGATTTCTGTGGTGCCATGTAGTGTTCGCTCTCTTTCACACAGCCGCCGCAGCCTAAATAAAACGCGGAACATTGGTTTTGCTTAAGAAACAGTGATGTCGTGTGGCAGTGTGTCCATGCACTGACATGTGCACTATCTAGTGACCCTGAGCAGGAGATGCAGGTACAGAAAATGGACTGGAATGACTGAAGGACGTCTGCTGAGCCTCAGTGTTACAGCAGCAGACACCAAGGTATAAACACCGGTACAGAAATGTAACAGCAGGTTTGTAAGTTATTAACTTTGTCTCCTCATCGTACCGGCTGTGAGACTTGCTGAGGCTTCAGTTTACCTTTCATGACGTGACGGCGACTGGAACCAGCAGTTTAGCTTCAGCCACGACTGATGCGGTTAATAGTCTGACTGCTCGGCTGCAGGTGCCACAGAATTCAGGGTTGCTGCTCAGTTTATGTGGATCTTTTTAAAGAAGATCAAGTTTCTCTGCTTTCTTGGATGCAGCACCACTTCCTGGTCAGTTTTGGCCACGATGGGCAGAAGCCATTGGAGCTGCGGGTGGAGGAAGACTCCGACTGCAGCGAGTGGGTGGAGAGCATCCAGCAGGCCAGGTGAGGCAGGAGGGCGTTGACTCAGGTGATCTACTTCAGTGCACCTTTGACCTTCGTGCACTACTTTACACTGCACTACATTTCAGAGGGAACAGTTGTGTAACAGCTGGAAACTTTTCAGATGATGAATTTAAACTAAAATGCTTTGTCAAGCACCACACCAGTGGTTTCCCACCTACAGACCTTCGACTCTTCATCAGGAACACAGCGTCTAGTCATTATCAAGTGTTCAACCCAAAGGGCAAAGAACAGAGACAGAAGTCCAACGTGTTAATGAAATGAGCTTTGTTTTCTTCCCACGATGCCTTTAGTTACTCTGACATCATCATCGAGCGGGAGATCCTGATGCAGAAGTACATCCACCTGGTCCAGATCATGGAGACCGAGAAGATTGCAGCCAATCAGCTTCGCACTCAGCTGGAGGACCAGGACACTGAGATCGAGAGGCTCAAAGCCGAGGTATGCATGACTGCGTCTGTGTGCACATGCATACAAAAATTCACATTTTGTCATGCACACACACGTGCACAGCCACTCAGATGCACTCACTTTCTTAAATGAGCACACTCCAGTGATTCCAGGACCATTTCTTCCTTATCATACAATGAGGTATTTGTTGTTATGAAGCCCTAAAGTGGGTCAATGAATATTTTCCCCTCGGGGCCGTGTGTTCACGTGGAGACTGTCGTTGTGCCAGATTGCAGTGCTGAACAAATCCAAGGAAAGGATGCAGCCTCACCAGAACAACCAAGACGAGGAAGACGCAGACCTTAGAAAGATCAAAAAGGTGAGTTGTTGGTTTCACACAATAATGTGTAGAGAAGTCGAACACAGAGACACCTGGTTGTGCTGCTGCTGTGCAGGTGCAAAGCTTCCTGCGCGGCTGGCTGTGCCGCAGGAAGTGGAAGATCATTGTCCAGGACTACATCTGTTCCCCTCACGCCGAGAGCATGAGGAAGAGGAACCAGATTGTCTTCACCATGGTGGAAGCAGAGGCGGAGTACGTCCACCAGCTGTCCATCCTGGTGAACTGTTTCCTCAGGCCGCTGCGCATGGCCGCCAGCTCCAAGAAGCCTCCCATCAGCCACGACGACGTCAGCAGCATATTCCTGAACAGGTACACTCATCTCTGTTGATTCCATGCAGATATCTGATCTGGCGTGTCTGAATGATTTGAGACCAGGTGTCCTTTTCCAGTGAGACCATCATGTTTCTGCATGAGATCTTCCACCAAGGTCTAAAGGCTCGGATCGCCAGCTGGCCCACTCTGGTTCTGGGTGAGTGCTACAGAGCGGCCTGATGCCGGTTGCATGTTCTGGCCCATTAAATATAAACCGTGTATACATTACATTACTGCAAGTCATTGAAAATCTCATCTCCTACCTTCCAGGTAACAATCAGCTTCCACCGTTTCACGGTATAGAAAATGTAAAAAAGTGCACGTGAGGTTAGAACATCTGGACACGTTGCACAGGTTTATAGCATCTGTGCTGTCCCACATTTGGAAAACTCACAAAGAGACGTGTGCTGCTGACTGGTGGTTTAATGCACGTGAAGCACAATGTCCCCTGATGAATCCACACTTTATTATTTTGTGGTCTCACCTTTTCTGCCCAGGACACGTTTTCTAACTCACTCAGCGCTGACGAGGTGCAGGAAAGCAACTTTTGGTTCTGTATGATTTCATATGTAGTTGGGGACTTGGGATTCATCTGTTGTGTGAATCTCACATGACCACACCAAGATAATGTAACTTCAACAAAAAGTTAAATGCAGCAACAACAAACGAATCTTAGTCACAACTTTGGCTCGTGCCTCACCGACATGCGCTGACACCGTCTGGAAGGTAGGAAATCAGTCAGGAAAACCGTAATCACCTGACAGTCCTACTGCTTTCCTACTTTTTAATCCCAGGGTTTTCAGACTAATTGTTCTCTTTGTCGCACGCAGCCGACCTGTTCGACATCCTGCTGCCCATGCTGAACATTTACCAGGAGTTTGTGCGGAACCACCAGTACAGTCTGCAGGTGCTGGCCAACTGTAAGCAGAACCGAGACTTCGACAAGCTGCTGAAACAGTACGAGGCCAACGCCGCCTGTGAGGGGCGCATGCTGGAGACGTTCCTCACGTATCCCATGTTCCAGGTCATAACAACAGTGCATGGGACGCGCGCACAGTGACATCTAACTGCTCATTTAATCTTTTTATGCAAGACACCGGTGTCTTGCTAATCAACACACTTGTATTTGTGCACGTTTGTGTATGAAAGTGTGTTTTGTTGATATTCTAGATTCCACGCTACATCATCACTCTACATGAGCTGCTGGTGCACACGCCTCATGAGCACGTGGAGCGCAAGAGCCTGGAGTTTGCTAAATCCAAACTGGAGGAGCTGTCAAAGTAGGTGTTCCACCAGATGTGCTGGGAAGTAAGGCTGCTGCTGCCGATGATGACGAGGATTGTTTGTGTTGTCAGGATGATGCACGACGAAGTGAGTGACACCGAGAACATCAGGAAGAATCTGGCCATAGAGAGGATGATTGTGGAAGGCTGTGACATCCTGCTGGACACCAGCCAGACCTTCGTCAGACAAGGTGAGCCTCCTCCACCACTCCCGTCTCGGTTTTATTCCAGTTCTCCGTCACCTCTCACTCCTGCCTCTGTCCGTGGCCAGGCTCACTCATCCAGCTGCCGTCCAGCGGTGAGCGGGGCGTGCTCAGTAAGGTCCGCCTGGGCTCCCTCTCGCTGAGGAAGGAGGGCGAGCGGCAGTGCTTTCTGTTCACCAAACACCTTCTCATCTGTACCCGGACATCTGGAGGAAAGCTTCACCTACTCAAGGTCAGTCAGGAAACAGTAAGACGTTCAGCACAAGGTTGTTTAGCTGTTCATTATGTAAAACAAAGGGCGGATCAACACAGGCCTCTGGTTTCAGACTAATTGTGAGGAGACAAAGTCATGCTCATGTGTCCTTGTGGTAACCTGATCAAACTTGAGCGCAGACGCCTTCTCTCCTCAGCACATGAATGTGGAAGCTGGTTTCTCATGTCAAGCTCTGCACATACCTCGTTTATCTTTAAATAATTTTACTGAGTGTCTCATGGTGTCAGATGTCTTCAGTCCTAATAATACGACACTAACCTCTGCAGCTGCCCTCGTGGAGCATATTCAACATGATCACTACTCTCACATGGTTTGTTATACAACACAGCTGGCGTTAAAGGAGCGTCTGCTCACCAGTAGCACAGTGAAGCAGCGGGTCCCTGCTGCGTTTGTCCACCTGCCTGCACCACTGAATTTATTTTCAGGTTTGTTGATTGCACCGGACAGTGATATTGACTCTGGGTGTCCTCCTTTTCCCCCCTCCCTAACAGCAAGGAGGGACCCTGTCTCTGATAGAGTGCACTCTCAATGAAGAGCTCGACACCAGTGACGAGGACTGTGAGTGTCTCTGTACCAAGTCATATCTGATCCAGCTTCTCTTGTCTGAACCTCAACATGTGTTGTTGTATGTGCTGATTCCTGCAGACAGTGCAGCGGGTCAAGGCTTCAGCCACCTGGAGTTTAAAATAGTGGTGGAGCCCCCTGACGGCCAGACCTTCTCCGTCCTCCTCTTGGCTCCTTCTCGCCAGGAGAAGGCTGCGTGGACCAGCGACATCAGCCAGGTGAGAAGACCAGTTTAGAGCAGCTGTCTGGTCCTAGACGTTGGATTACAGAGAACTGACAGGCTCATGTTTCTCTGCTCTGCATCTTAGTGCATCGATAACATTCGATGTAACGGCCTGATGACCAGCGTGTTTGAGGAGAACTCCAAAGTCTCTGTGCCGCACATGATCAAGTAAGAAAAGAGAATAGTTCATGGTCTGACAAATGTCCAGATGTGAACATTTCAGACTGTAGCAGCGAGGATGACTTTTCATCTCTGTATTTTTTGTCTGAAGTGTTTTGGTTAAGTAAGTTAGTGATGCATGTAACAAGTGTAACTGAAATCTGGAAACATTGCAAAAAAAAGAGCAAAAGATGAAAATACAGATAGACACAATATCAGAGTTTACTACTGTGGAGTTAAAGACTCATATCGTTGAGATATAGTGAAGGCCTATTCTACATATTGTATTGTCAACACGAACACATTAAATCATTATTAAAGCCATCAGTGGCCACATGTTCACCCATTTTTAAGGATTCACATTTTCAGTAGGGTCACTGGAGGTGAGAGCAGAGTGGAGGTCAGGTAGATATGAAAGACTAACAGAACGTTGGTTTGGTTTGTTTCACTCAATTTTTTTGACAATAAAAAAAGAATATCACCAGCTTTATGCTTTAACTAATGATGGGAACTGAACAGGATATTTTTCTCTTCGAGGTCTGATGCCCGACTGCATAAAGACGACGTCGACATTTGCTTCAGCAAGACTCTGAACTCCTGCAAAGTCCCACAGATCCGATATGCCAGCGTGGAGCGTCTGCTGGAGCGACTGACGGACCTGCGCTTCCTCTCCATAGATTTCCTCAACACCTTCCTCCACACCTACAGGATCTTCACCACCGCTGCCGTGGTCATTGACAAGTTGGCCGACATCTACAAGAAGCCGTTCACCTCCATACCTGTCAGGTACGTGTCGCTGCTTCCGAGCGTTGATTCCATTGGTTTGCGCACATTCATCCATTCTCGCTGTGTGGCAGCCTGCGCTACCTGTTCTCGCTCACTGCACCTTGTCGCTCTAATCTCATTATTCCCCTCCTGTCTTGATCTGTCACGGTCCCAGGATCGAGCAGCTTTCATACGACCGTCTGTCCATCATGTCGCTCTGTCCTGACTACAGTCTGAAGATCACACAGCTTGCACTGGACCAGTCCAAGTAAATACCATCAGTAGGCTGCTGATTCGCTTGTACCAGTGTTTGTCAGAGGCAAAGCTACAGAGCTCTCCTCCTGTCTCTCAGGTCTCTGGAGCTCTTATTTGCCACCAACCAAGGCGTCTGGGGAACCGACCCCTTGAGCAACAAATCCCCGAGGTTGTGCCGCAAGTTCTCCTCTCCTCCTCCTCTCTCCATCCCCTCTCACGCCTACTCCCCCGTCCGCTGCCGTAAACTCTCCCTCAATTCCCCAGTCAGTGTGAAGGCAGGAGCCTTGGACCTGTCCACCACCCCCGACCCCTCTACAGCCAACTCCCCCACCTCTAGTCACTGCCCATCCATCTCCTCTCCACCTCCCAGCTCAACCAAGGCCCCCTCCGGCTTTTCTTCCCCTCCACCCACCACCACTCGCTCTCCCAACCTCCCACAGGCCTGTGGGGTGTCCTCACCACCTCACGTCTCCACCAAGGCCCCGCTGGACCTCAGCTGTGGTCCCAGCTCCCCAGAGCTGAGCCCAGCTGCAGAGGAGGACGTCGGCGGAGAGCTGCCTCGCATCGACGCCTTCTGTGGGAAGCTGAGGAGAAGCATCCGCAGGGGTATGTGTCTGCAACATAAGCATATGATCCACCCTCTCAGTCCGATGTGACACACACACACACACACAGTTTCAAAACAGGTGAATGCATCAGGTTTAAATAGCTTATCTCTAAGAACCAGATGGTGGCGTGCCAACTCAACCAGACCAGGAACAAGAGACCTACAGTGAGGAACAGAAGTATTTGAACACCCTGTGATTTTGCAAGTTCTCCCACTTAGAAATCATGGAGGGGTCTGA